GTTTAATTTTGGGCTGCGTGCGGCTCATGCGCAAAACACGTGCGAGTGGCTGTGAGTGACGGTATATAAATGCATCATCATTCACTCATAATTACAAATTAAGCTTTTAATGTAATTTAAACTTTAAAAGTACATTAAAATAGAAACAACACAAAGTTCTTCAACATGGAAAGCAATAGAAATGTAGTAACTAAATAATTTCCCCAGATAATTCTTTCATATCGGTTCACAATTGCAGTCTGCAGGGGCTCGAATGGCATCCAAAAGCATGGTCGCGATGTAAGATTTTCCAGCTAACCAATTATTCCTTTAATAAACAATGCTTTTATACCACACTTGTCATAATCAGAGCTTATAATTTGTAAATAATTGCTGGATTCAAAACAGCAATTAAAAGGAGCTGTGACCGACACTGACTATACGTTTTCCCGGAGCATTCAATGCTGTCACTAAACGGTGATGCCACAACTAGAGCATCGTTCACTAGTTTCTGCATGGACCTAACTAGCCTAGGCACAGGTTTCAAGCCCTGGGACAAAATGGGATGCTTTAAGGAAAATGTATAGCCTATGTAAGCAATAGGCCTAAATAAAAATAACAATTTGTTTTCATAAAAAAAACAGCAAAATATATCTGGCTTAAATAATTAAGATAACAGATTTAAAACAGAAGTGTGCAATAAGTAAAATTGTGACATTCTTCTTTACAAATCCTCGTTTTGTACTTCTAATCAGTGACCGTTGTTTTGTTTTGCTCTCTCCCCTGCGTTTCGCTCCATAAACAACTTTTTTTAAGCTTCAGCTGTTCGATCGCGCCGGCACCTCGCGCGCGCACACACACACACCACATATTCTAGCAATTCAAACTTACATCACAGTCTGTTCATTATCAAAATAAAATAGTCAACCAAACATATAAAATGTTACACTGGTCAGTTTAAATAGATCGTAGTATACCGGTCCACTCTGCTGTTATGCCAAGGACATTTTTGCTCATGAGGATGATCTTTTCCGTCTATATGCGAATGCGTGTAAAGTACAAGCCTAGTTTACATTATAAATAATAGTTTAACATTCAAATACATGGATGAGACATGAGTAATAACCTCCAAATACATCTAGCCAAACCCGCGCTCGCTCCGTCCTCGTACACGGACGCATGCACTGTCACGATCTAATACACTGTAAATGCCGGATTTTAAAAAACAAATAGGCCTACCGCAACGCAAAAATTCAAAATCTGACATTTTCCGGAACAGGATCCAGCAGGATCAAATTAAGTACTGGTCATAATACTCACATAATAATGTTTCATGTTAGCAACAGTGTGTTTTGCTGCAGCAGCGCCGATGGAAGCGGTTCACTGACTGCGCAGCACAGCCACACGCGCCACAGTTACGTTTGGGATAATTTTATTTGAAAAGCCATAATGTCAGTTGAAAACATTGCAATTGTGTTTTAAAATACAACGAGCACCACGAAACCATTTAAAGAGGCGCGTTCAGCGGTCTCCGTGAAGGGATAGGAAACAGTCAACAAAGTAAAATTATCTCAAACGAGCTCTCCATTTTGTCAAATGATCATAATCATAATCTATTCATTTTTACAATCCTGCTACTAGCATTTTATTCAGACTAAATCGGGTGAGAAAGCGAGGTTTTTTTTTGAGTAACTTTTGCACATCTTGTCATGCCGGGCTGCATTTTGCAGCATTAAGGTTAACGATTATTGCGACCATTTTTGGGTGAACTAACCCTTTAAACATCTAAAAAACCGCACATTTAGGGGGCTCCTCTTTTGGTGAAAGTTTTTAGACGGCTTTCAAAATGACCGCCAGACAGTGTGAACATACGGAGACCCATATCTCAGTGTGCACTGATCTGATTGACTTTAAATTACAGGAGGTATATAGTAACAAACACATCAATTGGTTAAGACATCAATTATTTTTTCTTTTTATAATCTGAGCTCAAAAATGGAAGTGTGCTTAATGGGTACGTGAGCTTAATAGGTACGTTTACCCTAATTTTTCAGAAATATCAAGGATAATTTTATTTCTTATAAGATAATCCATGGATACAGTCTGTGGCTGTATGTGGCTTTGTTTACTTAGGAAAAGTTTGGATGAGATCCAAACAGGACAATGGCTTGGCAGTTTTTCAGCATTCAGAGAAGCTTGTTGGTCACTGTCGAGGGCCCGAGAGTCCACTTAACTACCTGCTTCCTCTGATTTCAAACAATTCAGAAATACACCCAACAATGCCCCACCTCCCTCTGATTCTACAGCAACTCTGCATTTGAATTAGTGAGAGGACCTATTAAGATCATTTTGTATATTAATAATGAGTAACGTATGGTCTCCACCACGTAAAAATCACTAATTTCTAGCAAAAAAAAAAACATGAAAAATTAAAAATGTCATATACATTAAACTTTGCCAGAATGGAAAACGGGGTTGAACATTTTGCAGCTATTGATAAACTTGTGTTTCTCATAAAATTATAGAAGTTATTCATAGTTTTAGAAGTTTTTTCTCATTGTACCTGATGCACTAGTTTGTGTAAATAACAATTGACAATTTAAAAATGTGAGGTAAAATTATAACTGTCATAATTAAGGGGGAAAAAAGTAATTATGGCAAAAAAGTGACCATGTCATGACTTGGTCAATTTTAGCTTTGTCATAATGTTTTTTTTCCTCTCAATTATGCCTTTTTTTATTTTTTGACAAGTCGTTGTTTTATCTCATAATTTCAACTTTATACGGGGTGTCCGCAGGGTCTTAAAAAGTATTAAAAGTTGATAAATCAATTTAGAGAAAATGAAGGCTCTTAAAAAGTATTAAAGTCTTAAATGCCATTTTCCAAGGTATTCAGTTTTGTATCATCTTTTCATTTTGTATATTTGTCCGAATAGTGGGGTTCTGTGTTTCTTTATGGAATCCCGCAAGATTTAACGCCGTCTGTTACGGCGCTCACTGACTGACTGCACCGCTGCGTGATAGCGTGGGGCTTGTTGATCCCGCTCTCGCTGAATTTCTGACCATTATCGCATGTTCCCATCCGCTCCTGCGATTTGTGCCCGCTCCAGCAAACATTATAATATTGTATGTAATTTTCGCGCATCAGGGCGCCGCTATCAATATGTGGGGTATTTAAATCCCCTTTGAATGAGCGCTCGCAGTCGTAGTTCACTTTCGATAGTTCACTGCGTAAAGGGAGCACATCTTGCGATTAAAAATATTTGTCAATGAGCTCGGCATCTGTTGAGGAGCAAATCCTCCAACATCTTGTCAGTTATCTCTCCTTACTTTTGACCCGTGATTAGTCAAATCTGACTTCCGCAGCTCGAGTTGGATGCAGGGTTGTTGTTGTTGTTGTTTTTTTCCACGAAATTGGGCTGCTTTTAAACTGTTGCCTTGGGTTGATTTTCCCCAGTGGGTTAAAGATTTGAAATATTGCATAAATTACATTTGGTTGAAATGCTTGTACTGAAACATTTTGCATTCTACCTGTAATAAAACTGTGCTAAATGTTTTGGGCCACACTAGTAGGAAGCATTTGAGCTGTGTTTATGATAATGTGCATAACAGTGACTGTAATTGCGCTACTTTAGGCTGTTTTTTTTTTTTTTTTTACTGGCATGGCCTTGGGATGCACGATTAAAATGATGTAATAGTTGTAATCATTATTTTACCTTCTATGATCATTCAGACATGATCAGGTGCAGTACTGACACTCTGTCAGGTCTGCATCAAATCAAGCACTCCGTAATCACAGGTAGACTGTCTGATCAGTCAGATGTTTGTCATGAGAAGTGTTCCACAAAACAGCTATGGTTTGCAGACAGTTATAAGAGTTGTTGTGACAAATAATCTTTTGAATATACTGTGTGAACTCATTGTCCTGTTAGCTCGGAGAGCTTTATTTTCCCTCCTCAAGTTTTGTCAGTTGTTTTGTTTATTGGTCTAATTCTTGTTTCTTGGGTTGCATTGGTTAGTCACTCAATTAATTCTCTTGTGCTTCGTTCCCCCCTTCTGAGTTATGTTGTATTGATAAGGAGTTATCACAAAGTAAGCCTGTTTAGTTGCGCTTTCTTACAATCAATATATAGTAAATGTAAGTTAAAGTGTCGCCGATGTAACCGGTTAAAACCTGGAGTGGCGATGAGGTCTTAAAATGTATGGAAAGAGTCTTAAAAAAGGTCTTAAAAGGTATTAAATTTAACTCCATGTTTCCTGTATATACCCTGTTATATCGTCATTCCTTTCTCAATTGACTGTTCACAAGGAGCTTGATTGACAGGCGATCTGACCAATCAGAACGCGGATATTATGTGCCGCTGCTGCTATCCGCTATCTTGCCCAACATCTATGGCCGGTCTCCATAGAAATCCATGTTAAAACTGGGTAAAAAAAGAGACTAAATTGAAACTTTTTCAATATAACTAAATATAAAAATATGTGGAGGGTTAAGCTGTGCTGTTGTTGGTTGCCACAGTAATGGCATTAAGCTAAGGAATTCCTTTAAATTACTTGTTTTGCACACCAGATTTGTCCATGTCCGGCGCTGTATGCATGGCTTGCAGTGCTTAACTCTTTCCCCGCCAGCATTTTTTTAAAAAGTTGCCAGCCACCGCCAGCGATTTTCATGATTTTCACTCAAATTTGATGGCCTCCAGTATATTTTGCTGTATGAATATTTGAATATGCAATACACCAAAATAAAGATCAGAGCCTCTACTTTTAAACAAAAAAATCAGTTTTATTCTAGCTTAAAGCATTCTTTTTTTTTTTTTCAACACTTGAATATAGGTATTCAACACTTGAATATAGGTATAGGTTTCATAAAAAATGCATTATTTTGAGCAAAAAGGTGAGAATCACATTTTTTTTATCAAAAACTACATCTGGATAATATTCAGTATGATTATCAAAGCATAAATCCAGTAAATCGCTTCCATCAATACCTCCAAAGCTTGCACAGACATATACCACTTTCTGGAACAACATTTTACTCCGTAACATTATGCAGTTTTAATTTATATGCCGTCTATTGCTGATGATCGCTTTCTTTTTCATATGCATCTGTTTACATAAGAGATCGCTAGTTTCTCCATCCTGTTCACATGTGTTTTTGTTCGGGAGGTTTTGTACTCGTTCAGAAGATGTGTAATAGCGCCCCCAAGTGTATAACAATGAAAACACGAAAAGCTGTAAAAACTCGTCTTTGGCGAGGAAGCGTTTTCTTCTAAAAGACGAGAACTCGTCAATGGCGGGGAAAGAGTTAAGTTAAAATACTGAGTGTGAAATAATAAAATGTTAAAACGTGTGCTCTTATCATTCTGTGGACAAAATCCTGTGAACTTCGCCTGATCGGGAGCTGTATATCTGTTTTCAGTGCAGCTAACCTCGCGTTGCTTCATGTCATCTTCCCACTCATTAAACTATGACAGATCCTTTACTGCAAAAAGACAGTCATTGCGACACTATAAAGTGATGAAACTATGGTGCCATGTGCTTTTTAAAACCATTTTCATAGATTTCACGTTATATTGTTGGCTCGGAAAATATGTAAGTGCGCATGCCCAGTAGCCGCAGCTGTATCCCTTCTAGCCTTAACCACAATTCAGACAGGAGAGTGGATTAACTTCGATGAACTTAAACCTGAAAAATGGTGTGTTCCGCGGTTGAAATAAAATACTTTCTGATGTTCATTTCGTGCTTAAAGTGTAAATATGAAAAGATGATGATCGGTTCACGTGTTTGAACTGAGGCAATACAGTGATCTGTCAAAGTGATGAAACTATGGTGCCATGTGCTTTTTAAAACCATTTTCATAGATTTCACGTTATATTGTTGGCTCGGAAAATATGTAAGTGCGCATGCCCAGTAGCCGCAGCTGTATCCCTTCTAGCCTTAACCACAATTCAGACAGGAGAGTGGATTAACTTCGATGAACTTAAACCTGAAAAATGGTGTGTTCCGCGGTTGAAATAAAATACTTTCTGATGTTCATTTCGTGCTTAAAGTGTAAATATGAAAAGATGATGATCGGTTCACGTGTTTGAACTGAGGCAATACAGTGATCTGTCACGACACATTGAAGAGCCACAAAACAGTATTATTGTTTGAATTTCTTTAAAAATTACAATTTAAAAGCTGAGAGTCCTGAGACCTTGTTTCATATAAGAAGTAACCTGCTCTGTATTCTCTGTCGGCATGTTTTCAGTGTCCTCTTTGGTCTGCGATGTATTTTCCGCTGTGTGAGAACATGATTTGTAGTGTGAGAGCGGCATTGTTTGTCGGGGATAGCAACAGTAACTAAGGAGGGGTGGGTCTTTGCGAAGGGTCAATTCCGTCTTTATCTCATTGTGAAAAAATTTAACTATATTATTGCCCTACACTTTATATAAAGTTGGATATATAAGTATGTATATCCATGTACATGTGGTATACTCATGTTGGGAGAAACAGCAATCACAGCTGCTTGATTGCATGAATAAGTTGCAAAATGTAAATTAAATTACCCAGCTCTATCCTGCTAAATGCAACTATAAGGCATGAAGGCATTAGGATTCTAAACATGAACATGGTGGTTTTCTCTGAAGCTGCTTTGAAATTTATAATTATGACTTTATTATTTACCAAAGCTTCCATAGTAACCTGAAGTTTTTGTCTTATCAGGAGTTGCTGGATTATGAGGTGGACAGTGATGAAGAGTGGGAGGAAGAGGAGCCAGGAGAGTCTCTGTCACACAGTGAGGGGGTGAGTGATATGACATCACTATTTCTGTAGTGACAAATTAGCCATTGTTGTCTGCATGTTTGAATTTGGTGTCGACTTCAACCTGGCTTTTCCTTCCAGGATGATGACGATGAAGGAGGAGATGATGACGACGATGATGATGGGTTCTTTGTGCCCCACGGTTATCTGTCTGAAGGAGAAGGAGCACTTGAGGAAGATGAGGTATTTTAAACTTCTTCAGTCGCCCCTTTCAGTCACGTCATGATGCTAACGGGCTACTCTTGCAGGAGGGTGGAGATCCAGAGAAGCAGAAAGTGCGTCAGAGGATGAAGGCTCGTGAATGGGAGCATGAGCTGATGTCTAAAGGGAAGGTGAAGGTGTTGGAGGCAGTGGTACGCGGCTGCCTGTGGGATGGGGAAGAGCCTGCGTTGGACCTCCTGCAACCGTACGCTATCTGCATGCTTGAGCCTTTACCCAGAAACGAGCCCTGCACCCCTGAACAGGAACTCTCACGCCAACAGAGGAATGAGAAACGTGAGTACAGCATGTGTGCTTGTCTTTTATATGCCTGGTAGATTATAGACACATTAAGAAGCTAAAGTTTTCTCATCGGCAGTCTGTTGCTTTATGAAATTCTATTGTTAAAATGAGCCTCTACATGCAGTGCTCAAGTGTAAGATCATGCAAGGATGGCATTTGCTTTGTGATGAAGTGCTCACACTGTATTATAGGACGTTTTCAGCCTATTCACGCACACCATGAGTGGTGCAACAAAGCAGTGTGAATCACCAGTGAAAATTCACACCCAAAAATGGGCACACATGAATATTTTCATTATCCCTTTGAAGTTTGCATACTTAAACAAAGCTGGAACTGTCTTCTCTATATGCTTTAAATACAGTTGCACTGCAAAACCTCTCACATGTTTTGTTGTGTTAATGCATTTTCACTTCTCTTCAGTGCTGTCACAGCTGCTGCCATTGCTGCATGGGAATGTGAACAGCAGTAAGGTCATAATCAACGAGTTCCTGGAGTTCTGTCGCCAGCAAGCTTCCTCACCCACAGAAAGCCCTCAGAGTTTTACTGACAGCGTCCCACCCAGGTAACCCAGCCTCACAGTGTCATACTGAAAATTAGCATCAACCTAGTTCCATTTGTTAACTATATTTCATGCATTAACTAACATTAGTCCCTTTCACATATACAGTCTTTGCTGGTAAATTACCGTTAAGAGATCATGTGTGAACAGGTCCTTTTAAAAAAAACGGTAAATTTGTTCCGGTAATTTACCAGTAAGAAAAGTTGTAATATTACCTGTAATGTGCTCTGTGTGAACGCAGAACGAGATTACCGGTATGAGCACGCTGACATAAGGCGTCCAATCATAACATTCTGAAGCAGATGACATATTTACGCGCTGTGTAGTTCGGTTTGAAGTCGTCTTATACAGTGTCTTAAAAGGTCAATTCCAGTTATGTCACAGAATTTACTGGTATTTTGAAACTGATGTGTGAATGGTGCTTTACTGGTAAAAAGATGTAATATCATTGCCTGTGCGAACAGTGCATTTTTGTATTTACTGTTAAAGTCGTTCCGGGAATTTTACGGCAATTTACTGGAATTACTGTGTGAAAGGGGCTCTTAACTAACAATGAGCAATACATTTGTTACAGTATTTATTAATCTTTATCATTAAAAATACAGCTGTTTATTGTTAGCTCAGGTTCATTGAATAACATTAATAATTACAACTTTTGATTTTAATAATGTATTAGTCAGTGTTGGAATCAACATTAACTTAGATTAATAAATGCTTTGGAACTATTTTTCATTATTAGTTTGTTAAAGGTGGGGTAAGTGATTTCTTGTAGCCAGTGTTGACATTTCAAATCACCAAAACATACACGCCCCTATTTTGACAGCTCCGCCCCACATATACGTACGCACTCGATTAATTCTGTGAAACAAAGCAAAACCAATGTTACACCGTGTCTACACTGGATGCGAGCGGCTCGACAAAATACTATAGAACTCATTATAATCAGTGATGCTGTCTACAGTGGATGCGGCACAGCATGACAAATCCCTGACAGAAAACTGCTGCTGCGTTCTATTTATTGTGTGATGTATTGACACAAATTTCAAATGATTTTCAACGGTCGCTTTGTCGCGTCCAGTGTAGACTGCTATCGAGCACTGGAAAGCTGATCCGATATTTACACGTGTCCTACTTCTTGCCTTATCGTAAGTCTTCTTTTGTTCCACAGACAAAAGTTTGTTTTTATCCGCCATCTTATCTTTCTGTCGCTCGGCTAGACTAATGTCCGTCTTGGGCACTGAACGCTCTCTCCTCCACATCATGAGTAGACACACCCCTTACCGCTGATTGGCTGCAAGTTTGTTTTGGTACTCGGCCCGACTCAGTTTTCTAAAGCGTTTTTGAAAAAATACATACCCCAACTTTAACAAATGTAGTTAACTGTTGTTAACACATGGAACCGTATTATAAAGACTGGAACACACCAAGCTGACTTTAAAAAAAACTAGCAGTGACGAAAGCCGACAGTGTTGTCGCCTCGCGTCGGCAGCGTCTGGACAAAAAGCTGCACTTGAACACACCGCACAGACTACAGCCGACTGCAAACTAACACGTGTGTTCTGCGCCTGCGTGAGAGGAGTTAGCAGTCTATATCAGCAGCTATCAATAATATATATTTGTTAGGGCTGCACGATAAATCGAAAAATGAAATCACGATAAGGTAGAAGCTGCGATTGTCGTGTATCTTTCAGTGAAGCACGGTTCTGTGATCAGTAGTAAATCTCCATCCGAAGGCCAGAGGGCGCTTTCTAGCGTAAACTCCAAATACGCCCTGCAGAAGAAACCCGCTGCAGCTGAATAAACAGAATATTTAACTGCTTTTTTTTTTAGTTCTTTTTATTATAATTTTCATCATAATAAAGTATATCTATAATGAAATGCTAATCGACATAGCCATAATCACTGCTTAGAATACAATGAAATATCGTGTGCCTTAATTATTCTGTGTAAGAAGCCGCATCTCACATTTATTTCAACACTCGACTGACGTTATGAAGTGAGTTTGGAGTAAAAACATGTTATTAAATGTGGTATTTTCACATGCTCTCAGATGAAGCAGCATTTACTACACAGAGCCGTAGTTCACTGACAAGCTACGCAAACAGCTGTCATTATCGCGGAACGATTTCTTAGATTTTATTATCGCGCTATTAAATCGTCTGCGATAATGAATGCAATATTGCGTAGCTTGTCAGTGATCTACGGCTCTGTGTATTATATTCTGCTCCATCTGAAAGCACGTGATGGAGATTAACTGCTAATTACAGAACCGGCTTTCCTGACGAGATGCGCATGACATTAGCATTCGATTAATCGTGCAGCCTTAATATTCGTCATTCAAAAGGAGAAACTGAAACAAGGATATACGCATATATACGAAATGTAAACAAAGCAGCGCTTGCTTACCATGTTGAATATCAGTTATGTTGATAACTAACTTAATTTTAAGTCCCGACATCCCGACAGACGCTTACCGATATTGCCCTACGGCCGACCGTTGGCTTGGTGTGTCCCGGGCTTAAAGTTTTAGATTTTTCCATTAGCTTTTGGATTATTGCAGAAAATAAATGCTGTGACCAACAAAAATTCAAAATTGTATCTATCTTTAAAAATTAGCAGACCTTTTATTAATTTTGAAGCATAAATACAGAAATAAAAAAGCTAGTTGGGATATAAATTAACTACACCACGGCTGCATGACTTTAAAGGATTATTTCACTCCTGAATTAAATTTTCCGGATAATTTACTCACCCCCATGTCATCCAAAACGTTCATGTCTTTCTTTTTATCTTCAGTCAAAAAGAAATTAAGGTTTTTGTGGAAAACATTCCAGGATTTTTCTCCATATAGGGTAAACGTACCTATTAAGCTCACGTACCCATTAAGCACACTTCCATATTTCAACTCGGATTATAAAAAGAAAAAATAATGTATTATCATACTTGATGTCTTAACAAATTGATGTTTGTTAATACATCTCTCCTGTAATTTCAAGTCAATCAGATCAGTGCACCGATATAGGAGTATCCATGTGTTTACACTGTGTGGCGGCCATTCTGAAAGCTGTCTGAACACTTTCACCAAAAGAGTAGCTCCTTAAATGTGCATTTTTAAGATATTTAAGCCTTTATTTTGGGTAAGTTTCACTACTTATTGTAAAATTAAGAGATTAATGTTCAGACTTTTGCATATTATAACCTAGAACTTGGATGTGGGAAATTACATTAGATACAAAAGATAGTTTTAGCAGCATAGCGCAGATGCTACAGAACACAGTTAGCTGACTAACTGTATAAGATTGTGTGCTACGCTAATATATTACTTCACAGGCATTACTGGCTTGTACTTTTAAATCCATAATATTATAAATTGATAGTTTATTGCTGGTCTGTGGTTTTACAATAATGTAATTTTTTAAAGATTTCATATTATTGTAAGGTGAGCACTAAAGGGTGCACTACTATGAAAATCACACCGCTTCAGTGTGACATCAATAAGAAAAAGTATAATTTCATAGATAGTTAATAATAGTTGTTCATATTAAAATATGCATGAACTTAATACATGACCTAGATTATTTATCTTGCAAAATCCTGTCATTTTAATAAATATTACATGAAATTTATTGCAAATTGTTTCTGCTCTCGTTAAGCTCTTCCACACTGAACGTCTATGTAAATACTTCATAAACAGACTTTAAATATTAACTGATGGTTGTCGCTTTAAATTAAGTTAATCGATTTTCTGTCAACTCAAATCTGCAGACTGGCTCTGACCTTTGGCAACTACTGTGAACTTCTCCAGATTGTAAATCTGTGGAAAATCAGGGCTAAAATTGTGCAGTGTATTCCAGCCTTAAGAGACTATAGATAAGTTGACATCCATTTAATAAGAGGCTTCATAATGTGTTCTGTGTTCATCCCCGTGAATGAAATGTTTTATTGGTTTGTTTTATCTTATTTTTGAATTACTTAGCTGAACATGGACTAGTCTAGATGTTGCAATGTGCTTAAATGGCACTTCATTATGAATTATATAACTGATCGACTTGAATGCCTTGTTGCTTGATTTTTTATTTTAATTTATTTGGGGTTTTTTTGTGATTGACTTTGTACGTAAAAAAAATAATAAATTATTCTTTAAAATTGTTATTGTTTAAAATAAACACGATTTTTTAATAAAACTTGATGTGAGCTTAATGGGAACAGGGGTGTGCTTAAAGGATACAAACATGTACCCATTAAGCACATCCAGACTTTTTGAATTTAATGATGTATGTCTTAATTGAAATGCATTTGTCATTTAAAATAAAATATTTTTGTGTGAGAGATTAATATTTTATTTTAACATAACTTTTTGTACTGGAACCAATATCTGATTTTGGTGAGCTTAATAGGTACGTTTACCCTAGTGGGCTTCAATGGGGATCAGTGTGTTGAAGGTCCAAATTGCAGTTTCAATGCAGCTTCAAAGGGCTCTACACGATCCCAGCCGAAGAATAAGGGTCTTATCTAGTGAAACGATCTGTCATTTTCTTAAATTGTATACGATATCGGCCAAATTTTCTTATCAGGCCGATACCGATAACAGAAAAAATGAGCATTTATCAGCCGATACCGATATGGTGGCCGATATATCGTGCATCCCTAGTTTTAACCACAAATGCTCATCTATTTGGACCTTCAACCCGTTGGCCACCACTAATTATCAGGATTTTTTTATTCTGGAAGTGAACTAATCCTTTAAGCTTCTGACTCTTTCAGTCTTTATTTAAAATCTACAAGTTGGCAAGTTTGAGTAGTTTGCAAGAGCTAAAAGTGGACTAGTGAGTCAGATGAGTTTTCCTGTTTTGTGTGATAACATTTAATGTCCCCGATAACATCAGCAGTTCCCTTTAGTCACTTGTTAGCAACCGCCTGTTGAAAGGCATATACAAGCTTAGAAAAATAACAGTGGGCATTACTGATGCATTTTATGCCAGAATAAAAGTGAAAATATCTGGGTTTCAGCAGTCATCATTCCTGCAACACTATTGATAAATTCCTTTGGAAATATGTGGCTATTTTGGTGTATATTTCTGTGTAAATCAATGACTTGTTTGCCCAATGCCTGGAAAACATGTTGTCATTGGCTTCCAGTTTTTTTTTTTTTGGCAGCATGTCAGAATATTACAAAGCAACACAAAACACATTTCTAAGCATATTGTTTTGGTTTGCCAAAAGGATCCACGTCAGGCGTATCATAAAGGAGCACGCCATGTACAAAAAGCGCTCCACTTACAGACGATGCTGCTGGTATGTGCATCCAGAAGTTCTGGCCCGTCATTCTCAGGAGGCCTTGCCCGTTCCCTGCCAGTGGACCTACCTCACCTCCGGCACTCAGATCACCCGCGACGAGCACGCCGGCTCACAGGGCAATTCGCCCACTGCGTCCAGCTCCACCACACCCTCCAACAAGAGGAAAAGCGCCAGCAGCCACTCCATCACGAAGTACATGAAGAAATGTGGCGACTCCGAACAGGTGCAGTGGTGAAGACTTTTTTTTTTCCTTACTGTTTGTCTTCTGCTAACTTTGCTGTTTTTTACACAACAAATTCAGACTGAGGCCATGGAGACCGATGGCTTCCAAGCAGACACTGAAGATGATGAAGACGATGATTGTATCATCATTGGGGAACAATCTGGTTGGTATATGTTGCTAAGAAAGCTTGACAACAAACAACTCTGCCAGAATAAGCTTGATAAAGGTTTTTTTTCCCTCTTAGGATCCTCTGAACAGGATGCCAACACGTCCTTGCAACAAACCGAGGGGGAAACGGAACCCATGGACACAAATGCATCCGAAACTGCTGCTCTTGCCCTACCCTGCCTCACCCCAGCTACCGCCTGAGATCTGACCCCTTCCTGTTGGGTTTGCATGCACGTGAACCAGACGCTCAAAATCTGATCTTCAGTTCGAAGGATCACACAGTATTAAAGGTCCCCAGAATGAATAATTTGTCTCCTCTTCTTTAAGTGGAGGTCTGCTAGATGGTGTACCGTTCTTCTTTATAGGTGAGGTCCCACTTTTTGAAAGCTCTGCTGGTACATTCATCAGCTCTGACACCAATCAGGAGGTTGATGCTCTCTGCTGGGCTCAGTGCTCGGCACCTTGTTTTAAATCCTTTTTTTTTTTTTCATTCAGAATACTTGAACTGGTGTATGTCTTTCAAAAATAATGACAATTGAAATATATTGCACTTTTATATTCCATTTCTGTTTCTTTCTTTCTTCTACCCCCATCATAACTTCTTTAGCCCACCAGAAGTCTTTCCCTTGTTTTCTTTTCCAAGAGGCTTTGTATAAAAACTGCATTGCCCAGGCTACCATACGTGGTGTAAATACTGTTTTTGGTTTTTTGAAAAATGGTGTAGAAACTAAAATAGTAGGTGGCCGTCCAATATGGGGAAAAAACAGCAGCATTGGCGTTTCTTTTGGCGAAGTGTTTTCTTGTCTCGAAAGCCAAGTGTTTTCTTAATTGTCTCGAATAAACTGCACCGTAGTTTGCAGTTGTAATGGGTTTCCTACAACGCTTGTTTAAATAAAGCATTATTTAAAAATGAACAACTTTTAATATGTTGTTAACGAACGTTTTTCTTCCAAGTGATCACATGGCGTTTGGTTTCTTTCACATACACTCATCTGACAATGCATTTTATTTCATACATTACATCAAATGCAATAGAACAACATTTTATACTTGACAAAATAGTGTAAAATACAAGCACTGATCATTTTTAAAATAGCATGGTTTAATAAAGAAACAAGCGCGTGACACTGATCTTCTGCAACGGAATCAGTCTAATACCCAAAGTATTCACCTTGTTTTTAACATACAATTGGGTGCACTTTTAACTTGACTGCAAGCTTTCCGGTGTCAACCGCTTTACAAAAAGAGTCTACTGTGCTCCATGATATTGCGAACTGGTATTTGTTACAAATAGTTACATTATCGTAATTATAAACACTGGTTTGTAGCGTGTTTTTTTTTTTTAGTTTACTGCACTGTATTAAAAGTTATTTACCTACAGTGGCTAATGAAGAGGAAGTCGCACATTCACAGTAAATGGTTTTTGCGTTTAAAAATAAGGTGGACCGTTGACGCCATCGCGCAGCCTTTCAAGCTATATTTCATTTATTAGCATTTGTTAGTGTGTGTGAACACAGACTAGAAAGATTAAAACTTATCTAGTGTCTGTGCCATTTCTCTCCAGAAGTTATCCATCTTATTTTTAACGCGAGTGCGTGGCCATTTGTAAATATGCAAGGCTTCCAGTGTCGATCACTTCCAGTTATTTTATCTGTACAAAAAGTGGCATTATGCTGCTTAATATTCCAAACTAATGTTTTATATTATTTAAATATTATCCATAAACACTGGTTTGTAACGCAAATCGTTTTACCGTTTACTGCACTTTATTCTTCTGGTTTACACCGAAGCAAATAAAGCAGAAGTTTCACACATTCACAGAAAACGGCTTACTTTAGAGTTGCAAAACGTTCCGTATTATGGGTTTCTTTTGAACTATGAAGCAATAGGCCGGGTTAGTGTTGCCACCTTGTAGACAAAATAATTAGTGCAAAAAAATTGGAAAATCTGCATTAGGAGGTATATTGTTGTTGGAGACCAGAGCTTTTCGTCTAATTTAAGTTGCGTTGTAACATTCATGCGTAGTTTAATTTATGTTAAGCAGGAAACAAAACATTAATACCACAAAAGACAGAACTTGGTAGAGCTCATGTTAGATCAGTGCTTCTGTTGCCACAATGAGATTTCATGGTACATCAAGATTTCTCTCTTTCAGCAGTAGCTTTACATTACAACAGATCCTCTCACAGACCATCTCCAAACGAACTGAGCATCTTCCCTCATATAATGACTGGTCATGTTACCTCAAGCAACAATGCATTATAAAATATGACAGATTGTTTAGAAATTGGCCCATAAGGTGCTAACGCTCCTCATAACATCACTGACAGGAAAAACTCCTGTGTTTAGTACCATATAAATCCACCTAGCACATGCTGTGGACACAATCAGTGCATCAGGCCCATCCTGTGAAACTGGGATTGTGGTGGTGGACGATGGGAGAGAAACTCGCGAGAGAGTGCAGGCGGGGACAGCAGTGACTGGGGAGACTAAACGTTCAGCTCAGGGTCTTGATGTTCTCTGACAGTGCGGCTTTAAGCAGAACAGCGGTCTTTCCTCCAGCGGCAGCGATGTCTGCCTGCACTGCGGCGTCCCATGAAAAGGTCAGCTCGGCTGCTGGGGCCTGGAAGGTGAAAACAAATTGATCATTTTGTATCGAATTAAACATTGTGGACTTTTGTTTAAACTTGACTTACCAGGTTGCACTCATTCAGAGCCAATTCCTCATCATCCTTTAGTTTTTGTCCTCCGGGTGCCATCAGCTCAAAGGGTTGCCAGCCGTTCTCCAGAGAATCACGCACAAACTGGTACAACGCTGCCACCCTCTCCCACGCCAGGAAAGTGCCTGCAGAGCATTTCAAATTGAGGTTAAGCTGAAGAACAAGTTTGTCAAAAGACAATAGACATCTATGGGGCAAAGCATTCTGGAGTGTTTAAAGTCGGCATGAAATCAAAATTGACTATTTACTAGCGCATCTTGATGTTAACAGTTAATCCGCTGAAAAAAATAGTTTGTCTTGGTAATCTTTAATCAAAATCTGAACATTTGCTTCTGCTCTGGAACGCCAGTCCTTCTCTGATGATGTCAGTTTGACGGCTTGGGCAGAATATGCTTTTAAACACACCCCTTCAACCGTTAATTTGATATGAGTGAGAGAAGGAGAGGAGGAGCGCCAAAATAAAACCATGCCCTCTATTCAATATTCTGTTTCAGAAGGAAATACGTCACTACACTGAAATAAAGTCGGACTTTAAATGCATCAATGTGCAACTTTTGTGAAACACATTTGACCAAAAATGTTATTTGAGACCATGGGGTGTCATTCAAACTTTTTATGCTAGGAGCCTCTGTGAAAGACCCCTTTAACTAAATGCCCGATATTTAGTAAAAAAAAAAAATATATATATATATACACACACACACATATACATACACAAAATAACACTACAAAAACAGTACATTTGAATTTAGAATGAATATATTATTGGTGTTAATTATTATAAGGAAAATAATTAGTTAAACTGGCTGTGAATAGAATAATTGAGATTAATCTAATTTTATATTCAGGATATTTGACTATTTTGACAATTGTGTTTTTAAAAACTTTTTCCTTTTCTGTTTACTACTATATTACAATATAAGACTAAATAAAATGTAATATTATATTTTTATAAAGACATACATGTGTGTTAAATAACAATAACAAATAATTGGTTCTGGCTGCCAAAAGAATAAAACATTTTAATTTGATATATTCGGTTTTCATTTTTCTTAACTTTTCTGTGTACTACTATAATACAACAACAACAACAACAAAATCATTTATAAATAAAAACGTGTGATAAATAGTATAGGCAAAATATTAGGTTAAACTATGGAATACAATAATTGTTTTAATACCATTTTAATAGTCAATTTTATATATTTTTTATTTAATTTTTACAAAAAAAATTTCTTTGCTGTTTACTATTATACTACAATACAAAATATAAAAAATATATTTCATTTATAAAAATATAAAGTTGCGTTAAATATTTTGGGAAAATATTTGGTTAGAATAAAATCATTTCATTTTTAAATTCGATTTGATATATTTAATATATTATTTTTTATATATTTTTTTTTTTCCTAAACTTTTCTGTTTACTACATATTGGACAGATGGACTACTACTAGGTGGATGAGCATAATTCTCATAGGTGGATTTTTCTTGCTTGCTATTGGTATGTATATACCTCGATACACACATAATATGTATGCCACTCATTTTATACGTTTTATGTATATACACTAGGGCTGTCAATCGATTCAAATATTTCATCGTGATTAATTGCACGATTGTCATGAGTTAACTTGTGATTAATCGCACATTTTTATCTGTTCTAAATGTACCTTAAATAAACACTTTTAAAGTTTTTAATACTCTAATCAACATGGGCATGGACAAATATGGATGCTTCATGCAAATGTATGATTATTAGTAAAACCATACTCAACATAGAGCATGAAGCGTAGACATGTTTCAAAGGTCATAGATGTTTTTCAAATAACTTGTTCATGTCTATTAGACACATGAAAAATACCAGGTTCCCATTACTTCTCTTTCTTTGCACTGAGCAATTTACTTACACAAGCCTGTTTACATTTTCACACTACAGGGCAGCTCAGGAACATGCTGTACATTTATTATTACATTTGTTTGCCTCTCTGTGCCCACAAACCGAATTTTAATGCAGCCAAATTCTCAATAAAACTGTTTTGATTGATATATTTTACTGTTTCTGTTGTCATACAACAGAATGAATATGAAATAGTGACTGAAACGCGACCCATTAAAGGAGACATATTATGCCCCTTTTTACAATATGCAATATAAGTCTCTGGTGTCCCCAGAATGTGTATCTGTGAAGTTTTAGCTCAAAATACTCCACAGATCATTTATTATATCATTTTGAAAATGCCTATTTTGAGTGGAAGCAGAAACACGCTGTTTTTCGGCCCTGTCTCTTTAAATGCAAATGAGCTGCTGCTCCCCGCCCCTTTTCCAGAATAGAGCTGTGCCATTACAGCTCGGACCTGCTAAAAACATCTGTTTTGGTTCTGATTATCATGTTTATCACGCTGAAATCATGCATTTTAAACCATATTAGTTTAAACTTCTGATATACGGTTTTCTGAGCGCACACATCCGAAGCACATGGACAGAAAGCTGCTGTCACAACATGTGAGTACTAAATAAAGTTCTCATTCACACACAAGTTTACATTAAAAACACACACACACACGAGTTACAAAAACAGTCGGTTATGTCTGTGAAGGTAAAAAGCTGGGAAATAAATTGCATGTTTATTTTAGATCTGTGTGGCAGCAGCAATATACAGTAAATAAATCAATAAATCCACTGCTCTCGTCTCCTCTGAGGCTGGGACTCTAAACAGTGTTCTGTGCTGGTCTGTGCAGCCAAAGACAGAACACTTAGCATGTTTTGCTCAAACCTTCGCCATGGCATTAGAACTGGTACACTGTTGTCGCTTGCTAAATCAAATAACGGCGCCGTGGGTGTAAACTTTTACAGATTATGGGGCGGTAATCGCTGAAATCATGCATTTTAAACCATATTAGTTTAAACTTCTGATATACGGTTTTCTGAGCGCACACATCCGAAGCACATGGACAGAAAGCTGCTGTCACAACATGTGAGTACTAAATAAAGTTCTCATTCACACACAAGTTTACATTAAAAACACACACACACACGAGTTACAAAAACAGTCGGTTATGTCTGTGAAGGTAAAAAGCTGGGAAATAAATTGCATGTTTATTTTAGATCTGTGTGGCAGCAGCAATATACAGTAAATAAATCAATAAATCCACTGCTCTCGTCTCCTCTGAGGCTGGGACTCTAAACAGTGTTCTGTGCTGGTCTGTGGTCAAACCTTCGCCATGGCATTAGAACTGGTACACTGTTGTCGCTTGCTAAATCAAATGACGGCGCCGTGGGTGTAAACTTTTACAGATTATGGGGCGGTAATATTATAATGAGATCTCTTTGCCACGTCACCAAGGGAGCGAAATCAGACGCGCTCGTTTTTCCAGACGCTTGCAGAAAAAGGCTTACCAAAACAAAGTTACTAGATTAATCTTTTTCACGTTTCCTTGGTTGCTAGATGCACCGGAGACCTTATCATAGCACTTAAAACCTGGAAAAGTCACCTTTAAGACTTCATAACCAGCTCTCCCTTCCAAGACGTTAATCTGCACAAAAATCCTGATTTATAATCGGGCCGTAGTCTGATCAAATCAAATAGGCTACACATAAGATAAAGACAATAGCTGTGCTGTGATTTCGGCTATACTTGCTTGTAAAATTAGAGAAGCAACATAATATCTGGTTTAACTGAAAGCGCTGCTTTTTTTGGGGAAAGAAAAAAGAAGCTAAATCTAGTTGGCAGCACTGTGTATCTCCATTTCTCCAAACAGAAAATTTGCGTTAATGCATTATAAACGCGTTCATTTTGACAGCCCTAATATATACATAAACTACTAACCCTGGAGTATATTTCCATCCGGTAACCGCACTCTCAGAAGCGCATAGTTGTACTTCCTTCTCTCCCTCTGCTCATCTTTCTCACGCATGGCTTTCGTTCGCAGCATTGCATTTCTCTCCACGACTTCACTCCTGCCATGAAGGAAGATCATAAAAACACGGTGAGACTTTATTGGCTTAGACAGCACAACTGCTATTGTTGTTGACTACTCTGTACTTCAGTTGCTGTTCTTTTTTCAGTTCCTCCGCGGTCAGGTTGTAGAAGTCTGGAGGAAGCTGGAAGTGTGTGGCGTGCTGTGGGGGTCTGAAGACCTGCGGCTGACGGTCCAGCTTGGCTCTGACCGGCTCGCCCTTCTGCAGCCGCTCCAAATGAGCCTTCATCTGCTCCAGAGCCTCTGATTCCTGCGCCGGCAACACCAGGAACTCCTCAGTCCTGTCTGAGAGACATGTGAGGCGTCAAAGATATTACAGACTTTACATTTAAATATAATGCTCTTCATATCTTACCTTCGCTGTCCACCGGCAATGTGGTGCTTTCAAATCCCAACGCCTGAAGACACTCGCGAGATCCTTCAATCCCACTGACCTTCTCCTTTATGAGGAAAACAACAAAATATGAGCAAATTTGCTTTTTTCTCTCAATCCTGACAGTGAAAACGCTCATACCTGAAACACTTTGTTGCTAAGTTTGATCTTCCTGTACTTTTCCTCAGTCGGATTCTTACAGATGTTTTCGATGTACCTGTGTCCACACATTGAGTTTCAGTTGAACATTATACAAACATGCTGAGATACTGTCGTGCAAAGTTTGAATCAAATAGTCCTCACTTGCTAATGACGTCAACGGCAGCCTTTACTTTCTCTTTGTCTTTATTAAAGGTGTGAATCATCATAATGGAGGCCTCTATCGCATCCTCTGAGAAGCTCTGTGAAGAAAGAAGAATGTTCAGTAACTTCCAAATGGAATCTCTTCAAGATTTTGGCTGTAATAAGCTCACCATTAGAATGGCTTCCTTTATGTGCATCTCTTTTTCAGTCTTTGTTAAGGTTTTTCCAGTGAGAGGACAGATGAAGAAAACTCCCGGCACTGAGAAACAAGAAGGATCCTTTTGTGGAACACAGGCCCCCTTGAAAAGGTACAAATAAATACAGTCAGTAAGAGAGTAATGCTGCTGTTGAAATGAGCCTGTACTGGATCTGAACTCTTAAAGGGACAGGTGAAAATTCTATCATCATTTGTTTACAGTTCCTATGGAACACAAAGAGAACCATTTTGAAGGATGCAGTGGCCTCCAAAAAGGCTCTTAATAGGGCTGTAACGATTTAGTTTTGTGAAACTATACATAAAACATATCTGCATGAAACAAATTCACTCTCTGTCAGCAGGTGGCGCTTATGGAACAGCGGCAAGGAAAGAAGACAGAATTTCACATTCTATAAAGTTCTCATTATAATGCTATGTTTATGGCAGATTTGTGCTATATTTTCATCTACGTTATCAAGTGATTCCTGAAATCGCCTGCGCGTTTTCAAAGCCATACGAACAATTTTAATTGAAGTGTGCCTACTGTTGAACAAATATGATGAAAAAAGCACTATTGCATTATTATAACATCAGTATTTAGAAACATCTTATGACCGTCTCAAATAACTCAGATAGTCAATATCGGGCATTGCATTTGAGTATGAAACTAAACACTGGTAATATGTAATATGCACTGGAAAAATCCAGAAGTGTGGGATATAAACTCATGATTCTGAGGGGAAAAGAGAGAATGAGAAAAAAAGAGAGTTGTTTTCCCTTATCAGAATTGTGAGATATAATCTCGGAATTGCAAGAAAAATACACACTCAAAATTACCTTTTTTATTCTTTTATTCCATGGCTTCCATAGACTGCTACTTTAAAACTGACATTTTTCTGCCACCAAAACGTCATCACTGTTTGCAAACACCGAAATTGGTTTATAAGTAGCCTAAAAAAGTTTACATATATCCGGAGCGCTATTCCAGCCTTGGTATATCCCATCATGCATCATGTCAAGAAATAAATCATGAGACTTTTTGCTGTGATCTCGTGAGAGAGAAATATTAACATAATAATTCGACATTACATAGAATTTGGTAGTAAAACAAAGTGTTGCATGTTTTCTTGGTGCAAAGGCGAGTAGTGGTGATATTTATTTTGGACAACATTTGCAACTGCTTTTTATCACTTAATTAGAAGCACCACAAATTAAAATGTGTCACGTTATAGGCACTACTGAACAGACATTTAGAAGTTGGTTTTAAAATGCAACGTATTTCAAATAAAAATAAAGCTATAAGTGTGTCCCATCAAGTAATGAAAAGTTCGACACACACTTGTGGTCTTCATCCTCACTTGAACACTTGACCCAAATAGAGGAAATACGACATACAAGTAGTCAAGTGGTCAAGTGCAAAGACCCCAAGTGTGGGTATTTGGACAAGGCATCTACATAAGGGTAGTCCAGCCTCATGGTGGCTACCATGTTTAGATCACATGACCAAATACCAGTCACATAATCGAACTCCTCTATTTTTAGACACTTTCAGTCAACATATCAGCAAATACATTTGGTTTTGCGTGATCCCGAATCAGAATAAAGTCAAATCGGCCAGCTAAATGCAGACAAAAACTGCATATGCCAGACTTGCCTCGACATCAGTGTTCTTCAGACTGGCCGCTGTGGCAGCCGCCTCTGCTTCAAGTTCTCGCTTCACTGAAACACATCGACAAAACGTGACTAAAATTCCCTAATATTTTCTGATTTCGGAGTACAAAAAAATGTAATAATCTACCCTGATTCCTTATGGCATCGTGGGACGTTTGCACCTTCGGCCGGTGCTGTTGCTCGATCCTGGCGAGGGCCGCGGCCCCTGCTCTGTGCGCGCCCTCAGTGGCCGCTTTTCTGGGCGCTCCGTGAGGAGCTTGTGGGGCTTGAGGTTTCGGGCTGCAGGAGAAACCAAATATGTGACCTTGGAGCATAAGTAAGTGGTCATAAGTAGCATGGGTATATTTGTAGCAATAGCCAGCAATACATTGTATTGGTCAAAATTATCAATTTTTCTTTTATGCCAAAAATCATTAGGATATTAAGTAAAGGTCATGTTCAATGAAGATATTTTGTAAATGTCCTACCGTAAATATATAAAAACCTAATTTTTTATTAGTAATATGCAGAGCTAAGAACTTAATTTGGACAACTTTAAAGGCGATTTTCTCAGTATTTTGATTTTTTTGCACCCTCAGATTTTCAAATAGTTGTATCACGGCCAAATATTGTCCTATCCTAACAAACCATACATCAATGGAAAGCTTATTTATCCAGCTTTCAGACGATGTATAAATCTCAATTTCAAAAACTTGACCCTTATGACTATTTTTTGTGGTCCAGGGTCACATATCATCCACTCATATCTGTGCTTAAACCCGTTGCTGTAACCAATAACATCACTGAAGCACTCCCACGTGACTAACTCGAGACCTTTACTAAGCTGTTACGCTATCAGTAATTATAGCGATAAGGTTAAACTCACAAGTCGGACATGTGTGTTCTGTGTAATGTTAGTTAAACAGTAAAAACACTGATAGATTTAGCACACACTATACATGTTTCCATGCGTGACCTGCAGATATGATTATGTTAGAAATTCAGTCAGACAGGTATAGATGCACTTTGTTCAGATTTCTGTACATCACAATAGAGTTCAGGTGTAAAATAATAGCTAAGTTTCACGTTTAACTGTTTCAAATGCGAAAAAGTCTATAATACCAAAACATGTTTTTCGATGTATCGTGATCTGATCATAAAAAATAAGGTTCAGATTAATGTAAAAGTGTGGTTGTCGTGACAGGTCTCAAGAACATCTGATCTTTGAACTGTTAACGTTACCTGCCGTCATCTGTAAGTTTCTTTCCTGGCCCTGCGGACTTGAATTTTATATCCTTCTTGAAGTCGCCGAAAAACTTCTTCATTCTTAGCGATACACTGTGTGCAAAAAATGTTTTTCAAAAATGAAAAATAAGTTGTTCTGATTTATTTATAACTGTCAGACACGCCACCACCCAAGCGACGTGTTCACAACAGGAAGAGGCCGGACTCTTCTTCGTCTTCTTCTTCTTGTTTAATGGCGGGTGGCATCCAACGTTAAGGTGCATTACCGCCACCTACTATACTGGAGTGTGGACCAAGGATAGACTCTCAACCGGAAACATGCTCATAACGCGCTCGTGACGCAAATATTGGGTTTTAGCGACATCAAGCGGAGGGGAGTGACAGATCCTTAAAACATTATTACGAGAATTGTGTCATCATTGTTATTATAAGGTGTGATTTGCTTTCCTCCCCTTCTCTGTCTGTCTGTCTATCTATCTATCTGTCTCTATCTATCTATCTATCTATCTATCTGTCTGTCTGTCTGTCTGTCTGTCTATCTATCTGTCTCTATCTGTCTATCTATCTATCTATCTATCTATCTATCTATCTGCCTGTCTGCCTGTCTGTCTGTCTGTCTGTCTGTCTATCTATCGTCTATCTATCTATCTATCTATCTATCTATCTATCTATCTATCTATCTATCTATCTATCTATCTATCTATCTATCTATCTATCTAATAATTTAACTATCTAATCTATCTATGTCATTTCTGTTTCATTAATAAAAATAAAAAACGTTCTGTTCTTTTTTCCATTTTGAAGGATGTACTGGCAACATGGGAATCACTTTGAGATCGATTTTTCCAGCTGATCAATGCTAAAAACATTGACAGCCAATCAGAATCCACATTAAATAACTTGAGCATTCAAAGTGACTGACGACAAAACTGCAGGGTGCTTATAATAATAAAAAAACATATCGTCCATTGGTGTGGACACTAATATGGATTTAGTTGTAGGTGTGAACGGGCCTTACAGGATTAGTTCACTCCAGAATTAATATTTCCTGATAATTTACTCACCCCCATGTCATCAAAGATGTTCATGTCTTTCTTTCTTCAGTCGAAAAGAAATTAAGGTTTTTGAGGAAAACATTCCAGGATTTTTCACCACATAGCTAGTGGACTTCAATGGGGATCAGTGGGTTGAAGGTCCAAACTTCAGTTTCAATACAGCTTCAAAGGGCTCTACAAGATCCCAGCCACCTTATCTGGTGAAACGATCAGTAATTTTCTGAAAAAAGATAATTTCTTTACTTTTTAACCGCAAATGCTTGTCTTGCACTAGCTCTGCGATGTGAGTCTGTGACTTCATGCATTACAATCACGTTGGAAAGGTCACGTTCAAAAAGGTAGGTTAGGGCGAAAAACTAAATTTTCTCCTCCAACTTCAAAATCGTCTGATTTCATTGTTTTATCTCTTTTTTTTTTGTAAAGGGCATTTGACTTTCTATGCACGTTCACTTTGTAAACACTGGGTCGGTATTCCGCCTATGTCACGTGTGACCTTTTCAATGTGATTCCATCATGCGTGAGATTGAGCTAGTGCAAGATCTATATATCTCAGTGTTTCCCCTAGGTTTACGGCTTTGGGGGGGGGGGGGGGGGGGGGGGGGGGGGGGGGGGGGTCTGTTTTTTTCCATTTTAATTTTTCTGGACTCTTGAATAACTATTCTTACAATAGCCTTATGAATTTTTCCTCAGAAATTCTGTGTTGTGTATTTACATTTCTTTAAGGCATAAAACAGTAATTTAATCTATCTTTTAATTAATGAAAATTATACAAATTTTATTTTTGGAAAATACAGGGGATTTAATATTACAATTAAAACATTGAAGAAATATTGCATGATTATAACTTAAAAATAAGGTTTTAATAATTTCAGTGGTAGTAGTAGCCTATTACGTACATTCTACTGAACAATAGTAATATATTTCTGCTGCAATGTCTAAGTTAAACCGAACTTTTATTTTGACAGGTTGCCGTGAATACCTTTACATTCCTGTGTTTATATGATATGAGGATAGTTTTACTCAAATTAAATGGTCAGATGCTCATGAAGTGACTCTCAGAGCAGTTCTGGAGATGTTGTTCATGTATTTATGTTCTCATTATTGAGACGGCAGACATTAAAGGAGTCATATGATGTTGCTAAAGAGAACATTATTTGGTGTAATGAAATGTGTTTATGCGGTTTAAAGTAGAAAAAAAAAAACTAATTATTTTCCACATACTGTACATTATTGTTTCTCCTCTATGCCCCGCCTTTCTGAAACGAGTAGATTTTTACAAAGCTCATCGGTCTGAAAAGCGAGGTGTGCTGTGATTGGCCAGCTATCCAGTGCGTTGTGATTGGCCGAATACCTCAAGCGTGTGACGGAAATGTTACGCCCCTACCATACTCTGATGCCGTGTACCGGCCGGAGCGATGAGACCTAAACATTAAAACCCATTACAAACGAGGCATTTGTTGCATCCAGTGAAGGACGACCCCGGGCTGGACTCCGCTTGGTCCACGGTTAAAGCCGATCCGGGATCCACAGCGCGAAGTTGATGTATTTCCTCAGCGACCAGCACGGATCAGTTCTAGGCATGACGAAGCGGATATCGTCCTCTTTTGGAAGACCAAACAAAGTAGTTTCGCTTTCACAACGAAACACACAGCGCCTTCACGACATGGTGGTGGCGGCAGCAACAATACTACAGCAAGAATAAAAGTTACGCCTTCTTTCTTTGCGTGAACATTTAGGCGGCGTTATGCAAATCTTCCCACATCGTGACGTAGATATGTGGGGGCGTGTTAGAACGAGGCGTTTTAGGTAGGTGTGGTTGACTCTTAACTTTTATAAAGAATATCTTTGGATTTGAGACTTTAGTCTTTGCAACTTTACAGATCTTCTTTATGCACCAAGAGCTTGTAACACTCCAAAGAGAAAGGAAAAATTTTAATCACATCATATGACCCCTTTAATATCACCGGAAGCGTCACGCGTCACAGAATTGACATGCCGTCGTGTAATTAAGATAAATAACAAGGCTATTTGGTTTGTTTAATAAAAGAACAAGGTATAGACCTGTTCTATATGAAAGGTAACTTTAAATGACTTCTGTTATGATCTGGCGCTATGGAGAAAATAAAATTAACTTGAGCTTCAAGGGGGGCGGGGGGTGCCTTTTGGGGGCGGGCCGCCCCCTAATATAATGGCAGGGGAAACACTGTATGTGTATATACAGTATGTGTGTATATATATATTTTTTTTAAATGACCGATCGTTTCACCAGACAAGACCCTTATTATTTGGCTGGGATCGTGTAGAGCCCTTTGAAGCTGCACTGAAACTGCAATTTGGACCTTCAACCCTTTGATCCCTGTTGAAGTCCACTAGCTATATGGAGAAAAATCCTGGAATGTTTTCCTCAAAAACCTTTTTCTTCTCGACTGAAGAAAGAAAGACATGAACATCTTGAGTGACATGGAGGTGAGTAAACTAGTGCTTTAATACTCGCATAAACTACTTTTATGGTGCTTTTGTGTCCGTTTTGAAGCTTGAAAGCTTCATGTGAGTTAAATTAAATTGCATGGACAAGATATATAAAAAAAAAAAAATCAATAGATAAAAAAACGTCTGATGTAAAATTTAGCAGCGGCCACCAGTGAAGAGAACACGGGCATCATCCAGTGATCGAGATGGAGAGGAGAGTGGATCTCCCTCAGAACCCGAACCATCACCCAGCTCGGACTCTGACTCCGGCAAAAACAGCGACCAGGTATTCTCGCCCGAAATTTGCTCAAACATCTCATAGCTTCATTTCTACCAAACAATGCTGTGTAGTTAATAAAATGCACATTGAAATCATATAAACAAGTTACTAATGTGTTCTCTAGGACTTCACGCCACAGAAGGAGTCGGGTGGTCGCGGTGGCAAAAAGCCAGCAGGCAGAGGCAGCAGAAAGGTGAGACAACCTCATTGACCTCATGTGGCCATCTATAATTACATACTTGCTTGATCTTATACCATTTTTTTTGTATCATTTTAGAAGGCATCATCTGGCTCCGATTCAGAATCGGGCTCCCAGTCAGATCAGGGGGCCGCCAGGAGCAATTCAGAAGAAGAGAAGCCCCGGCCGGCCGTCTCTGGATCCGAATCGCAGTCTGGATCCAAATCCGACTCTGATTCAGAACCTCCTCCTCCTCCTCCTGCAAGGAAAGGCCCACAAGGGCGCAAGAAAGGTGAGAACATGCGCTTTGCAACGTGAAGCCAGCACATATTATAATTAGTTTTAACGGTTGAGTAGTTGCGTTGAATGGCAGCACAGTGGATGGAAACTTTACCTGAGACAGTTGTCCTCGGATATCAGGAATCCTAGAGAAGTACATCAGAATACTAAAAGACACTTTTCTTTTTGCGTCATTCTCCAAGCGGAGAAACCTCCACCAAAGTCACGAGGAAGGAAAACCAAACCAGCTCCAGAAAGGGCTCCTTCCTCTTCATCAGACAGCGACAGGTGAGTTTGGTTTATCTGTTCGTTTTAAGCATGTTTACACTGATGATATTAGTATTTCCTTTCCGTCATAAATGCGTTATGTATTTATAGTTAAATTCATAGTTCACCCAAAAATGAAAATTACCCCATGATTTACTCACCCTCAAGCCATCCTAGTTCTATATGACTTTCTTCTTTCAGACGAATACAATCAGAGTTATATTAAAAATGTCCTGGCTCTTCCGAGATGACCGAGATTTTGAAGCCCAAAAAAGTGCATCCATCCATCATAAAAAGTGACCCTCCCAGAGACAGCAAGGATCCTAACACGATCAAGGCTCAGAAACGTAGCAGGGACATCTGTAAAATAGTCCATGTGACATCAGTGGGTCAACCGTAATTTTACGAAGCTACAAGAATACTCTGTGTGCAAAGAAAAATAAATAACGACTTCATTCAACAATTCGTCTTCTCCGCGTCACCCTATAGCGCCATTTTGGAGAGTATCACATACGTAAACAACATATGCAAGAAAAGGTATTCTCGTAGCTCCGTAGCTTACGGTTGAACCACTGATGTCACATGGACTATTTTAACGATGTCCTTGCTACGTTTCTGAGCCTTGATCGTGTTAGGATCCTTGCTGTTTATGCAGGGTCAGACAGCTCTCAGAATTCATCAAAAATATCTTAATTAGTCTTCTGAAGATGAACGAAGGTCTTACAGGGTTGGAACGACATGAGGGTGAGTAATTGAAGACAGAATTTTCATTTTTGGGTGAACTATCCTTTTATTGTCGTCAAAAATACAATTCACATGATCATGAGGTGAAAGAACATACAAATATTCTGTGAATTTTTGAGGAACACGTAGATGATCGTTTGAGTTTGAATTTCTATTCAAAGTGACAGCGAGACGGACCGCGTCAGCGAGTGGAAGAAGAGAGACGAGGAGCGGCGGAAGGAACTGGAGGAGCGAAGGAAGAAAGAAGAGGCTGAAGAGCTCCGTCGGCTCCGGGAGCGAGAGAAAGAGGAGGATGAGAAAAGGAAAAAGGAGAAAGAGAACAAGGCCAGGAGAGGAAGCAGCAGTGGCAGCAGCTCGGACAATGAAGTGGATGATCACCCTCTCAAAAAATCCAAGAAACCTCCGCCTCCCCCCATCCCCGCACCGTCAGACTCCGACTCGCCACCAGCTGCAGAGGCCAGTCACCAGAACTTTACCCAGACTCTTTCTACTAGTGTCGCTGCTAAAATGTTGACTGTTTGGGTTGTTGTATTTCCTCTTTAGGGGAAGAAATCCGCCAAACGTCACGACAGCCAGAAAAGGCGGCAAAAGAAAGAGAAGGAGCTGAAAGAGAAAAAAGAGAGGAAGATCAAAGAAAGGAAGCCTCAGAGATCAGAGGAGAAACGCAAAACGAGGTATGTATTTGGGAGTGTTAATTTATGATATATTATAGTATTTATTAGTATTCTGAATTAGCTTTTATTTTTATATTTGCAGTTTTCAGTTAAATTTTATTTTAAATTTTAGTAATTTTATTGTGTTTTGTCACTTTTATTATTTTGTGTTTTTATTTACCTTTAATTTACTTTTATTTCAATAAGTTGCCAAAGCAACATTTTTAGTTTAAAATGTTTTTAATTTTTTGAAATTCTTTTTGTAGTTTATTTGTATTTCAATTCATAAAAAAAGATTTTAGTTTAAAGAATTTAGTTTAGTAGTTTTAATGAACAAAAACCAGTATAATTGAGATACTATTATAATTTTTATTGATATTTTAATTGGTTTAAATTTTTTTTGTTTTCATTTTAATGTTAGTTAATGTTTTAGTTATTTAGTTGTTTTTTTTCTCTCTTTAAAATTAGTATGTTGTCAATTTCAGTTTTAGTTAGTTCAGTATATTAAGTTAAACTAAACGAAAATGAGAAATAATTGTTTTTATGTATTTATATATATTTTTCCATTTAATGTTTCTTTTATTTCAAGTAACAAAAATGTGTTGTTGGTGTTTTTTTTTTTTGGTTTGTTTTTTGTCATAATTTTTTTCGTTTTAGTTAGCTATAATAACCCTGACAATAACACCACTGTTTCCCAGAAGGCCTAAGCCAGAGAAGCCTAAACGGAAGCCAACACGTCCACCTGAGAAGAAAGTCGAGAAGAAAAAAGGTAAAATGAAACATGTTCTCATGGCTGTTCAGTCCTTTTGAGTTATTTTACGGGCAGTCAGACTTTAACTCTTGTTTCTGTCGCCCTGTATAAATTCAGAACCCTCACCTGAAGAGAAACTACAGAAGCTCCACACAGACATCAAGTTTGCACTGAAAGTTGACAACCCAGTAAGTATTGACATCATTAGCCTACCCATGTCGCATAAAACACAAAATTAAAATGACCGGAAACATTGTTCTACCAATTTTACAGCAAAGTCTAGTATTCAAACAAGCAATGAGTTTGGTCATATTCTCATAGGATGTCGATTCATTGAATCAGTTGATTCAAACTGGTTTTAGTTCATATGGTTCAGTGGTATTGAATGAACCACACATGACCTCTAAACTTTCAAAATGCTGTTGAATTTAGTCTATATTTATAGCAGAGGCTGTACGTGTGAAAATGACGTGATGTGTGAATCTCCTGGTATCATTCTGCGTCTTCTGCTTCCTTTCAATCTGTAGGACATTGAGAAGTGTCTGCAGGCCCTGGACGAGCTCAGCTCAGTACAAGTAACCACTCAAATCTTGCAGAAGAATACAGATGTTATTGCCACACTCAAAAAGGTACAAATATTTGCCATTTATAATCCATTTAAAAGGATAGTTTACCCAAAAATTCTGTCATTACCGTATTGACCCGAATATAAGACAATGTTTTTTTCTTGGAAAAACATCTGAAAAAACGCGGTTGTCTTATATTCAGGGTCTAGACTTTGACATGTCAATAATAAACCCACAACAATAGGTGGCGCCCAATACGCATTAAACGAGTGTGCCAAAGGGGGGTCGTCTTATAATCAGGGTTGTCTTATATTCGGGCCAATACGGTAATTACTCACCCTCAGTTCATTCCAAACCCGTAAGACCTCCGTTCAACTTCGGAACAGAACATAAGATATTTGATGAAATCTGAGAGCTCTGACCCTCCCATAGACAGCAAGGATCCTAACACGATTAAGGCTCAGAAACGTAGCAAGGACATCGTTAAAATAGTCCATGTGACATCAGTGGTTCAACCGTAATTTTACGAAGCTACGAGAATACTCTGTGTGCAAGGGGAAAAAAAAAAAACTTTATTCAACAGTTCGTCTTTTCCGCGTCACCCTATAGTGCCATTTTGGAGAGTATCACATACGTAAACGGTGTATGTATGTGGATATGTTTACGTTCAGATCAAAGCGTAAACAACGTATCCGCATATGTTGTTTACGTATGTGATACTCTCCAAAATGACGCAACAAGAAACGCACTTTTTGGCATAATTTAATTTTTATTTAAATAATAATAATTACAGGGATTTCCGTCAGTTCATCAAGACAGTCACTTGCTTCATTCCAGAATGATTCAGACATTCGAACGAATCAATTGAATGAATGATTCGGTGATCAAATCAGTGACTTGCCGCCACCTGCTGGCGGATTTAGTTTAACTTTTAGCGTATCATTTCAGTTATTTGAATCATATTTCTGTATTCAAAATTGTATATTTAAAACATTAATCTCCACATGAATTTATGATTTTTTTTTGCTTTAACACTTGCAATATAATAATACGTAGAATAAGACAAATAAGTTACCAATCATATGAAATTAGTATTACTAAATTAATTTGTACTACAGAGGTGGCACAGAGGAAAACAAAAGTGGTTTGTAGGTATATTTTCAGACGTTTAATGAGGCTCAGAGGTAGCATGAGTGCAATTAAATTAATAAATTAATGTGGAGATTAATGTTTTAAATATACAATTTTGAATACAGAAATATGATTTAAATAACTGAAATGATACGCTAAAAATTAAACTAAAACTGCCAGCAGGTGGCGGCACGTCCCTGATTTTATCACTGAATCATTCATTCAATTGATTCGTACGAACGGCTGATTCATTCAGGAATGAAGCAAGTGACTGTCTTTATGAACTGACGGAAATCCGTGGTAGCGACGGAACTTTAAATCCCTGCAATTATTAAATTATAAAACCATTATTAAAGGGTAAAATAAAATCTATAATATATTATAAACAATTTAATAATTAAATAATAAAAATAAATAATATATTAAATTTAAATATATATAAATAAAATACAACTTGTGCACTTCTGACTGTCTTGTCTTTTAGATTCGCCGATACAAAGCAAGCAGTGCTGTTATGGAGAAGGCCACTGCAGTCTACAATAAACTAAAGCTGCAGTTCATTGGCAAGATTGAGACCAGTAAACCAAAACCAGATGAAAAGAACCAAGAAACCAACGAGCAAGACACACAAAACGCAGGTAAACGGTCAAATTACTGTCAAATAAACTGTCAAAGTTTTCAAATGCAGTAATCAAATGAGTTTTAAAGCATGCTTGTTCTTTGTGCCTTCCTTCCAGACGACTCCAAACCAGTGAATGGAGAGTCAGAAAATGAGAAAAAAGATGTTTCTGAATCGGAAAGCAACCCCAAACCCACAGACCAAGAGAAACCGGATGAGAACAAATCCCCGAACGGCATCAGGTAAAGAGCGGCCACCTTTCGCTTTCCTGGTCCTTAAGCAAAATAATCACACAGCTTGCCGATTAATTTTATATTTGTCTTTCAGTCCCAATCCAGATGAGCCAACAGAGCAGCAAACACTCACAGCTGACTCCACAGACGCCGATCCGGCAGAAGACACGGACGTAAAAGAGGACAGCAGAGCGCAGGACGAGCAGATGTCTTCCGAGAGCTGAACGTTTCACAAACACACTTTGGCCTCCTTCGTTCATTTGTGTTACTTCTTGTCTGCCCACCTTTGTGACCTACATGAGTTTTTCGTGTTGTACATAAAACGTGATATGAACATTATTAGCACTTTTGAATCGGGACGTCATGAGGCAAAACAAGCGCCTTAATCTAAATGTTCGATGTGGATGATTCTGCACTACCCACGTTTGGTCAATCGAGGACGAACGTTTTATTTCAGAACCACGCTGACGTCTAGTAGGAAAAACACCGAAGCCCTTCAAATATATTTGAGGACTGTGCTTGTATTATGTAGCCGCTTTTTATGAGTAAAACCTTTTTTCCTTTAGTTTTTTTTTTTATATGAAAAAAATAAGGAAAATGCTAAAAAAAAAGTAAAAGAAAGCAGTCTGGTTTTGTGTTGATTGACCCACTACGCCATACAGGAAGAGATCATGAGGTTTCGTTGTCATTATTACTGCACAAATCTACATCTGATCTGTCTGGTATGGATTTCCATAACCTTCAGTGTCTATGGACTTTCACTAAACTCTGTAGACCGCTTGTTGTCCGTTGTTTGGTATTCTAATAATAACAACTTACATCTGCATAGGTTGACCCAATAATGCTATTCTTTTCTTGGATGTCATAAACTATGCGTATCATTCTTATTATAAACATGTTTCTAGTGCTATGTAACTTGGTCGGAGATTTTTTTTAGTATCCGTGAAGGAATAAATAAAAATTCCGCATGATGGCCACAATTTTGAATGTTTTCACAGAAGGACCATGTTTTATATTGTTCAGAATATGATACTAACATACTGCCTAGTACATACTAGAGTAGAATAGTAAGCTATATTCTGTTTTAAAACACCCATTATGATGTCTTCTATTCTAAAAAGTGTAGAATAATAATATGTAATTAATATTTTTATGGTTAATTGTCATGTAAATAACGTGAGTTATGTAAATCATCAGCTCAGTATTGACAATTTAATCTGCACAATTTTAGTTATTGCTATAATTAAATTATTGACGTACAATAAAGGCAGAAATTAGCGACGCGTCGGTCGTTCGCGTAAACGATGACTTTGATTGGTCTAGCGATGTAGACGGCTTTATTTAAATTAACCCATTTATTTTATTTAAAGAGTAAAAGATAATATAAAATAGCGGAAAGAGAAAATCTGCGCAATAAATACATGAGCAAATACTAAGTTATTTGCGTTTTTTCTTCAGATAGTATTTAGTTAGAAAACACTGCCTGATTCAACATAATATCTCCAGAGAGTAAGGTTTAGTTTATTAGAATTATTTACTAATGCAATCTGAAACTGTAATCTGTGAATCCAATAAGCACGTTCACCACAAAATGTATAGGACGCAAATGTCAAAATCCTAAACACCGAAAAGCGTCCAGTGCGTCGCGTCGCGTCGCTGTGAGGATGGGTTTGCCAGTCAGGTGATCGGTCCGCCATTTTGTCAGCCATTTCCTACCCTGGTCCGCTGCAGATCAGCGCTTACAGAAAGAGCGAAAGCCCTCCTGCACAGGCCGCTGTTCGGGACTGAATGAGAGACTAGCGCTCCAGCGGGCCGGTCAGTGCTCACATAAAGCCCGTGTTCGCGGTTCGGTCCGGTAGGACAGGAGGGAAATCAACATGGCTCTGAAGATCGTGAAGGGAAGCATCGATCGGATGTTCGATAAAAACCTGCAGGATTTAGTACGTGGCATTAGGAACCATAAGGAAGATGAGGTGAGGCACTTTATCCGTTTAGTTCCATTTAACGCTACTTGCCTCTGCCTCAGAATCAGATGTTTTTGTACATTTGCATTAAACGCAGCTGGTATAAATGAATCAAGCTGATCTCGTGTCAGTGATCTCAAATCACCTGATTTCAGGTGAGCTAACCGGCTATAACCTGCCTAGATAACAAGCAATTGTTTTTAACACAATAAAATATTATTTCAGTGCTTTCTTAGCGTTTGTGTGGCAGGTGACAGCTGTTATCGTTTTGTTTATCATGGATGAGGCCAGTTAGCATCACTAACGGTTAAGACACTTATATAAATACAACATTCTGCAAAGCGAATACAGATTTGATCCCATCCTGTTTTTGATACAAACCGTGTAATTATTAATGTTGTAATACAGACTGGGTGTGCTAAAGAACAGATGTCAATTCAAAATAGCTGGTCTCACTTATGTGTGTCATGAGATTGGCCGTGTCTTAACACCTAGTGAGCTGCCTATCTAGACAGCATTTTCTGGGCATGTCCGAACGCTTGTATGATGTTCGACTCGAAGATTCGAACGTGCATGATGACGCAAGCTATGCTCAAAAATGTTCGATTCGAATGTTCGAATACTGTGACGTTGACCGATGTTCCATTCGACTGTTCGAACTCACCGGTAATGCCCATACGTTTCTATTTCAAACGTTCCAGTGCACCTGCGATGTTAAAATGGTCGAACATTTATATTATACACAAAATGCTCAGGGCGAACATTTAAACTTGAACATTCTGATGTGCTTATGATGCTCAGTTCGGGTCTTCAGATAAGTTTGATGCCCAAAATGTTCGAACATTTATCTAAATCCAAAAAAACTTTGTTTAAAATGTATGAAGAGGCGTTCAAAATTCTCAAAAATGTTTCAATTCGAATGCACTCATGATGCCAAAAGATTGAACTGTTCCAACGTGTCTGTGATGCCAATAAATGTTCAGTTCAAACGATCAAATCCACCTACGATGCACAAAATGCACTTGCATACGTGGACGATTTGAACGTTTTGGTGTGCTTATGATGCCCAGAAATGTTTGATTCAAGTGTTCAAATGCATATATGATTCCCAGAAACGTTTAACTCAAATATGTGAACGCACACATGATGCCCAAAAACATATGGTTCAGGTGTTCGAACAGGTTTGAATTCAGCGCCGAATTCAGACGTCTCTGTGAAACTCACTTAAAGAGTTATTTAGTATCATTTGGGCAGGACAAGTTTTAGAATTTGTATGTTAATGTTAAAAATCTTGTGTAATATAACTTGTTTGTTTGCTGGTTTTTATTGTATTTGTTATACATGCATTTAAAAAAAAAAATTTTTGCCATGAAAATAGCCTTAGATGCTGACATGGCATTAAATAAATATCTTCTACTACTACTACTACTACTAGACATCTCTGTGATACCCAGAAAAGAAGTTATGGGGAAATCACAACTGCAGTTTGAACATAGCGTCAGGGATGAGAATCGCTGGTTTCTTGTGATTTCGTTTTGTGATGTGCGGTTGAAATGATGAATGAAATGTGGGAACATTTGTAGGCCTCAGGCTGCCTGGTTACCTATAATGACAAGGCTGAATTTTCTCTTCCAATATGCTCCATCCTCGCCCCCTCCCTTTGAAAAAGGGAACAAGATGCTGTAACAGTGAGCATTTATAATCACAAACAGGGTTTCTCCACTTTTATGGCATCAGAATACTGTTCCCTTTTTAGGAGATTCATATTGATTTTAGTCACCGGTTTGCCCTTCTAGATTTACGTGTTATGAAATGCTATAAACCTCCTGAACGCTGATGTCAAGTGTTTCTGATGTGCCATAGCCAGTGAATGTGTCAGTTTGACGCAGGGTGGACCTTCCTGGATGACCTGCATTGTCCGATGTGGCCTTGAGTCTGTGGCAACAAAACAGCACCATGATCACATCTACAAAAAAAAATAACTCTTTATATTGGCTATTAAACTATTCATGCTCATTTCCACTATTTTTACATTTAGGTTACTTTAAGTTAATCTTTAAAAATACTAATAATTTAATGACTAATTACTAAATAATTTAATAACACTGTTAAATGTAATCTTTAACAAATCCTAAAATTAATAATTAAAAAAAGTTGTGATGGCCAAATTCACTTGGAACATTTAAAATTATTTATTTATTTAGTCTTATGTATTTATTATTTTAAATTTTAATTAGATTTTTTTTCTGATGAATTAGTATAGAATTTTACTATTTGCCATTTATACATTGTTAGACATAATATTAAAATAATTATCAAATTATCGGTGTTGGCCAAAATGTAAATAACTGTGCCGGTTTTGGCATTATTAACTAAAATATGAATTATTAAAACATTTGGGTTAATTCCAATAAACCTGAAATAAAATATAATTATTAGTTGGGGGAAAAAATAGAAATGTTGCCTTTGCAACTAGTGTAAGATGAAGTACTAAAATTACTAACTGAAAATTAGAACTAAATTGTTTTATTTTTGAAAAACAAACAATTACAATAAAAGCTAAAATAAAAACTGAAAATATATATAAAATATTTCTTAAAACTCAAATAGTTTATAAATAATACTCAAATATACATATCAATAATAACGTTCTCTGCACTACTTTTATAATCGCTTCTTCGTTTTTATCGAGTACTAGTTGCAGCGCTACTTTGTAAACACTCCAAAAGTTGCTCAAAGTTTAATTCAGTTGTTTCATTTTGCATATATACTTGGCTTCTCATTACAGTGTAGACTTCATACTACAATCTTGATTCAGGTCTGACTGGTTTTGCTCTGTTTGGTCGCCTGCTTTCATTATAGTTCAATATCAAGCCGAGTTTAAGTCGTACCTTTTGTGCATTCAGACTCAAACATTCTTAAAGCACGCTTTATTCTCTGCTTTAACGTTCCCGTTCTGGTATCCTGGCCTGTTTAATCTGCAAGCATCTGGAGTCAGGTATCAGCAAGGCTTGGTCAGTGTAACCTGTACCGGCGTACTAGATATCGTGTCTGTTACCTGGCCAACAGCGGACAGTGCTGTGAAATATTCATAGGCATCTGAATGAACTGTCAGACTGTGCATGTGTGTTCGCTGCTCTGTTTGCTCTCTGCCGGTGGTTTCGTGTGAGACCTCTATATTTGTTTTCCACAAGAGGTGGGTGTACTTATCCAAAGGACTGGCTGGGGCTCAAAACTAGCGAGCTGCCTACCTAAACACTATTTTTGGACGTTGTAGTTGCATTTGAAATACACAATTTTGGAGTTTGTTGTAGGTGCCTAATTTTACAGTTGTCAATTGTTTGCTGGTTTGTGTTTGAAAAGAAGGAAGGAATGAAGTTTTTTTTCTCCAGACTGTGCTCTCTTGTTTGCTTGGGAAGGACATTGAGTTCGTCTTCATACTTAAGTGACGGTTTGCTGAGCTGGTCACATCCAAATCTTGGCTAACTAACAAATATTTCAGTCACGGCAGTGGGCTGAAATTACCCATAATGCACGATTCTTTGGAGCTGAATGAGGATTGAACATTCTATTGCCACATGTTTCATTCTTACAGGGATTAAATTACCCATAATGCATCATTTATGACGATTTTGACAGGGAAACCTTCCAGACAACTGTTTTACCTCTGGAGTTTCATTTTTACTGGGTTGAAATTAATCTTAAAGGGATAGTTCACCCAAAAATTTAAATTTGATGTTTATCTGCTTACCCCCAGGGTATTCAAGATGTAGGTGGCTTTGTTTCTTCAGTAGAACACAAACGAAGATTTTTAACTCAAACAGTTGCAGTCTGTCAGTCATATAATGGAAGTGAATAGGAATCACAGCTTTGAGAGTCAAAAAAACATACACAAAACCAAATTAAACCTTGTGGCTCGTGACGATACATTGATGTGTAAAGACACAAAACGATCGGTCTGTGCAATAAACTGAACAGTATTTATATCGTTTTTTTTACCTCTGATTCACCGC